ACAAGTTTAATAAAAGGAGAGATTGATCAGTTTATTACTATACCAGTAGCAATTTTGTACACCTTCATCAAGTCTCCTGTTACTCTTGTCCTGTCTGGGTTAATCTCTCATCCAATATAAATACCACGTTCCCTCTACCTCTTCTCTGGACTTTATCAATCTCTGCTTTATCTTTCTTCAGAATGAGTAAAACACAGCTGAGTTCAGTATTATAAGTGAAAATCAATCATTTTTATATGGTGTTATAAATTTCCTATATTGTTTCTATCAATTTCAAAATGTAGTCTTTTAAAGTCATTTTTAAAATTTGGCATTTTTCTTTAAGTCAAGAAGTCTTTTTTGTACCTTCAGCATGGAAACTGATGCATCCAAATTTAATTTTTATTTGGCCCTTTCAAGAGGGCCAAATTTTTTTATAGCTACACTTTGTTTTCCTCAGGAGTTAGAAACTAATGAGCTCAAATTGGATAGCACTGTGTCTAGGAAACTGTTAGAGGAAATGCTGATTAGCATTAGTGAGCCAAAACCATAGCCACAATTTGCTGTTGATGGCTAAGGCAGACAGTTATTGAGTTTATCTACAAGCTAACTCTTAAATAGAATGTATTTGGCTAGCTAGATTCAATAACAGTGAATCACATTCATTCAATGCAAAGGATAGAATTAAATTTTGAGTGATGGTCTAGAGATAATAATAGAGTGGGTGTTACTGTTTTTAGTTTAGAAATGGTTATTTTTTTTTGAATTAGGATTCTGAGTATTAGGGAACTGTGATATGAAGACAAATCAGTAAAGCATTCGGTTGTTTAAATATGGTTTAAAAGCACTAATATGACATTCTCATGGAAATCAGTAGAAGATGGGTTTGGAAAATTTCAACAGTGACCTATCTGCATCTTAAAGTGAATAGACACGGACTTCTTGCTGTACAAATAGCAACCTTTCTCCAATGTGTTCTCAACTTGGAATATAGTAAAAAATGTAGGTCTGTATGTTAACCCCAATTCACTTTATATCTTATGACAGATCACACAGATCACCCACCCTGCCCGTGAGTTATGAAGTTATCTAGCTAGGTGCTAGATTCTGTTAATGCTAGATTCTGCCTAGATTCTGTTAATGCTAGATTCTGCCTTGCTCAGTGGAAGCAAAATAATACACGGCTGTCTTAGGATCTCCCACTGTTCAGGAGGTCATGACTGAAAAACACTGCATGGTCAGTGATTATCCAAACAAGATTAGCATTACATTAGAACATAATATATAAATCATATATATATATATATATATATATATACACTTATATTTTGCTCTTCTGGCTCTGAGGTTGTTTTAGCTGCATTTTTGAAGAGTTTGAAGGATTTTTGGAGATTTGTGATGGATACTCTCCAATAAGAAATATTTATATGAATGTGAACAAATATAAATAATTTGACAGATCTTATACCGTGAATCCAATTTGCAACATTTGTTTCTGTTTTGTTCAGTTATTGATTTATAGTTTCATGACTACCTACCAAATCGGTTACTTTGAGCAAAATTTTACTTTGTTGTTAATATTTGTAGTCCTACTAATTTACTTTGCCAACTTCTCTAAACCAGTATAACAATATGGAAAAAATGATTGCAAACTATTTTTGGTTAGAATTTTTTGTTGCCATAATATTGTGCTGAGAAAATAGATATCTTGGTGAGACAATTCATTAATTAATGGTACTATAAAAGGCACCATCCTTATATAATTTAGTTCTGTTTTAATAAAGACAACTTGAAAACAGCTGATCTTTTTTTGTTTAATATTGAAATATGTCACAGTAAGGCATTTATAAGAAGATGAATGATGCCTAAAAGCTAAGTCATCCCACAGTCTCACATCTTTTTTATTTATTAGATCTATAATTAATCTTCACTTATACCAAATGTGTGTGACTCAGACACACTGACAGAGATGACAAAACATGTTGATGTTGTAGAAGATGCACTGTGACTGTTTTCCAAGGCTTGGAGAACATCCCCTTTTTCAAGCTGTTTACTCAGTAATTACAACTCACAACATGAATTACTGTTGTCCCCCCATTTTTTTTTTTTTTTAATTATTGTTATTTTTATGTTTCATCCAGTCCTTAATGAAATTCCAGAAGAATCCCTCTTTTCAGGTTTGCTGGATTTTTTTTTCTGTATTTAGACAGTTAGCAAGAGTGACTAACCTAGGTAAAGAAGCTGACCAGCTTCACAACTCTATTTGTATCTCCAAAACTCTGGAGGACAGAAAAGTCTTTTAATTGGTGATGTAACCTCAGTAGGAGCACATTTTTAGGAAATGAGGCCTACACTGGTATCTTCATACTGGGCATACTAGCTCTGGTTGCCATGGTAATCTTCTAGAGCATGCTAAGTCCATTGATGTGGAAACAAGATGGCTTCTTCATTTGTTTAGCCTTAAGGAAACTTACAAATATTAGCAAATCATTAAAGGGCTAACAGACACTCAGAAGACTTGACCTAAATAAACAGCATCGTGTCAGATTACTAATAGCTGCAGAAGTTTTACTTCTGTAACTCTCTCCTGAAAGTCCTTAGTTAAAGAAGATTTTGTTACCCTAAATATATATATATATATATATATATATATATATATATATTTTTTTTTTTTTTCTGTACCTGCAAGTAAAATCCCATACTTTGAGTGTTAAGGTGGACCTCCTGTTCAGTGAGATGGATTTAGTTTGTCATTCAGTTGGCAAGGAATTTAAAAGCTGAATAACAACCAATACTTTTATGAATATAAAATCAATATTTTCTTGCCAGTTTACCGAGGAAGGATCTCCCATATTTCACAGAAAGCTTTTTGCTGGTGTGGAGTGGCTGACAAACACATGCATTCCTCATCCTCACAGAATGAGGTCTCAGTGCCATCAGCTTTGGCAAGGCTGAGGAGGGTGACACTTGTCAGGGAGAGGAAGCGTTGCATTTGAAGTTGGGTCTTTGAGGTTGGGGAAAGAGGAAAATTAAATGCAGGCATGACAAAAAGCACACTAATGAATGAACCCATCTGTTAAAAATATAGGCGGAAGTGGCAGCCAAAATTCCTAGCTGCAGATACTGTGGTGGCAGGCTCATATGGGGGAACCACAAGGTCAGTAGAAAAGTAGATTATATCTTTCAAGATTCTCAGTCAAATGGTCTGTAATTTCAAAGCAGCTGATTAGTTGGTGCAGTCTACTTCCTCAGTGCCTGTTCCCTAACAAATGAAAGATGCAGGTGAGGAATTTCACAAGTTACTGAAAGAAACATTTAAATAAAAGATTTGTTTTGGTAAGTCTTACAACATATGAAGACTTCACTGGGTACTTAACATTATTTGGAGTCTGAGTGATAGAAGAAACCAATTAACAGAGAAAACACATGGGACAAATTTACTAAGTCCCTGTTTGAAATATATCAGTGACAGATACATATTTGTAGGTCCAAGTTCCCCATCTAGATCTGAATCCTTTTGTACATAAACAGAGAAACCATGCCTTTGCTTTCGTAGCTAGTTGTAAAATCTAAATGCTCTGTTTTTTGTTTTGGCTCAGCAATCAGACAGATTTCTGGTCGAAATTCATGCATGTTATTTTCCTAATCGGGGTGATTTTCTAAACTGTAGAAAATATACCAACATTGAGATTTCATTTTTAAAGTAGAAAAGCTGCCCAAGAAATGCACGATTAAATTAAATGAGATGACCTTCTCACCAAAACAAAAACTAAAACAACAGCATATTCCAACATTTATGCTGAGTATCCGAATTACTTGGATTCTTATTGATTATTGGAACTGTGATTCTTTCCATTTCTATTTAGTTCCTTCCCTTAAGTTCACCCGTGCGATGGAAATAATAGTATGTGATTCTGTTGTTTTTCAAGAGTATTTATTTGAAATTTCAGTAGTCAGAGCATGCATTCACTCTCCAGAGGGAATAGGAAACCTGATGGAACAGGACATATAACATGACAACCTGAATTTGTTTATTGATTTTTTTTTTCTGTCTTTTTTTACTATTTTAATACATTATGATGTAGTACACCTTATTCCAGGTATATTGCCTGTGCACATAATTGGACTTATACCTTTTTTTTTTTTTTATATTGTTTGTCAATTAAACAAATCAGCGGCCTCTGTGATTGCTTTTCTTGGTGTAGTGAAATTACTTCACCACTTTTGGCCTAAAAATTTTGCACTGTGACACTGGCATCTCAAGCATAAAATTTCTGATGTGCTTTATGAAAAATTGTGCCAATACTTCGTCCTTAAATGACCAGTAAGATTTACAAATTGAGGAGAATAAGGAGAATTCCTGTTTGATTGTGAATGAACACAAATCAATTTGGTGTACCAAATAATCTAGTCAAAACTTTGGGTTTACAATAGAAATGTATCCAAATTTGGGGTATTCAAATAGAAAACTGCAAATCTCCTGAGAAGAATTCACGATTCTTTCATGAGAATTCTGCATTTTTTGTTTATCACATATTCCTTGGAAAGACCTGTCCTGCCTAGCCCTTGATTCTAGTTTGGAACATTTTGGATGATCTATTTTGGAACATTCACTGAGAAAGTTAAGAGGAAGTGTGAACACATATATGAATGAGAAATGTCTCACTCCACAATTTCAACAGTGAAAGCTTAGTTCTGTCTCAGTTAAGCATTACAAAAAGCTCTGGGTGCACTGTTATTTTCATTTTAAATAATTTATCTATCATAATAGGATTAGGTTCTCAACCATTTGGTTCTGAAAAAAAAACAAAAAAACAAAAACCAAAAACTTTTTCAACTGTTTCCTAAGAGCTTCAACTGGATGAAAAGCACTAATAGATTTGCCAGGAAGAGAGGTTACATATTAAACACAGAGCAGGAAAGGGGATTTGAAAATGAAGTACTAATAGGAAAAGAACAATGATAAAGATAGTAGTAGAAGATGCTGGAAAAAGGAATGTGATGACTTAAAAGATGAAAAATATTTAGAATACCATTCGACTACTTTTTGCAAAGAAAGATGTGGTTGCTGGATATGGCTTTGTGCTGTGTGTAAATCTCTCATTGGTAATTATTCACCTGTTGTAGTACAGAGGAAGAGTAACATATTTTTCCCTTTGAATTGTTTCATGTCTTCATTCCTGAATGTATTCTGGAGTGCAGAGACATTGTAGAAAGTGCTCTTGAAATTCTTGGGTGATGATAACTACAATGACTGCCAGGAAATGACAAATTCTGGCTATAAGTACATAATATATGTACCATTCTTTTCTCTTTGCGTGAAGAGCTCTGCCTCTCTGTGGAGTCCTCATTGCCATTTCTAGATTTTTTATTTTTTTTAATGAAAATAAATTATTTTTATATGGTGGAAATGATTTGGTTTTTCACTACATTTTTGTGTGGTGGATCATGGAAATCAGAGATTTGCTTAATTAGAAAAAAGGTGATACAAAAAAAAAAAGGATAAAAAAAGGAGGAAGAAAACATTTTCTGTCTGAGCAACTGAGGTTATCCCTGCAGCGAAGAAAAAAAGAGAAGGATGAAGTTACTTTATCACACGAGGACTGGGTAAGGAAACCAACCTGGAACCACTTCTCAAAGGCATCCTGAAGCCGTTAACTGTGAACTGGTTGTGAGTACTTGTCCTATTTATGCTTGGGCAGAAACAAATGAGATTTCCCACCCTGGGGGTGAGGTGGTAACAGAGCCTTTTTCTTACCTATCACCCATGTTAAAGCCAGGCTTTGTTCAAATCAAGGTTAAACTTAACATGGCTTCTCTATTGGTCTTTTTTTTTTTTCATGTATATCAAGAGTTTATTACCTTTTGCCATGTCCAGAAGCAGCTGCTATGTCCGTGTGTAGTTCAGCTTGTATTTAGGAAATTCAAGTCTTTATTATTTCAGAGAGAACACTTAGTAACTACTAGTTAATATTGTGGTTTTTGTTTCGAACTGCCTCCTTCCTATTATAAGCTGTTTGTAAATTTCTAAACTGAGTATTGTCTTGAATTCTACTGATACAACTTCTGCCCCAATATGATTATTTGATTATTTATTTAGACCTTGAACACAAAAGAATTCTTAACAAGTCAGAGAAAAAAAAAGTACATTCCTTTTTGTTTCCCGTTTTACTCTTTTTGCATTTCCTTATGAAGGAGATTTGAAAGGTGTTGTTTGACACAGAAACAGTATTCACTATGAACCAATGAACCTTAGTTTGTTGGAGAAATAAATATTTCTTATGCTATGCCTGTAATTCTGAACTTTAGAACATGATCCAGTCATTAAGAAATGCACTGCAGCATAATAACTCCACATAGAGCTATAAAATTGAAAATAGATGTGGAAGTCTGGTGATGACAATTCTTTTATTTTCAAGGAATAACTGTGCAGACTTCATTTGTATTAGCTTTTTAATGCATGTTACTGAACTTTCTCTCAAATTTTTGCCCTCCGTCTCTAAAGATTTTCTCCTCCTCTTCCATAATTTACCTAATATAATGGTTTACAACAAAAGCAGACCATATTTAATCTTACTGCTCTTAATACCCTTTCTCCCTTGCAAATTATACTCATATGATTGCATATACTACATATATCAGTGGCATTCACCTCTAAATGTCAAATATATGTGGGCATTAGCCACTCTGACCATGCATGTTTATAACAGACATTTTGGCATTTAATATCTCTGCTGTCTTTTCTGTGCCCAGTAATTGTGTTTTAAATTCTTTTGTATTCCATGTACAGAAACATGGATTATTTCAAAATCCCTTATTTCTCTCTCAAGAGACCAATCTTAATTGTGTCTTTTTTTCATTAAATGTTACCTTCTCTACCTCATTGTGTTATTTTAAATCATGGTATATATTAGTTGTGTTTTGATGGACGGTTGCCCAAAACACCAGAATGATGTTTAAATTACTGTGGTCAAACATCAGCTGCTTTTTCCTGAGAGTGCACTTCCTCCTCTTTGTAAAAGTATCCCCTCTATTTCTGCTCAGCTCCATGGAAGAGAACGAGTAACACTTACCACATGTGTACTACAGATTGACATTTATAAATAATCATTTTCAGAAAGTGCAACAGCTTTGCCGCTATGATAGTCCAGACCAGTTTTCTTCAGTGCGGGTGTTTGGGTCTGATGAGGTTGATGTGAATCCTGCCAGGAGTTAAGATCAGGAAGACTTGAATGATGGCAGAAGATTAAAGAAATTCTAGTTTTCATTCCTGCATTCCATTTCATCTAACATGTATGTTTTATCAATCCTTTTTCCTTTTTTATTTTTTTTTTTTGGAGACCAATGAGAAAAGATTGTTAGTACTTGCAGAAAAACAAAACAAACAGCTGTAGTCTACATCCAAATATTAAGCTGAATGTAATTTAAATATTCTGTAAATATTTCATTTTGAATCAATCTGTTAAACTTAATGTGCATCCCTCCCATAACCTTTACCTTTGCATATATCTTTACAAAAAGTAAAGACTGGCTCTGTGCTTGCCAATGCAATACTAGATTGAGGTAGCAAGAAAGGGTCAAACTTCCAACTGATCAGAAGCATCAAGGAAAACTATTACTGGGTGGCCTGATATCCATTCTACATTGCTCTAAAGCCAGGTTGGGGAGTATGGAGATATCCTTTGGAAAGTGAAATCATACTCTGTGAAAACCTGCTTAGACATAGACATCTCTTGTTCAATAAATGGCCTGAAGAGGGTGAGTTCCTGATCCAGGAAGGAAGAACATAACAAGGAGTGGTGGAGGAAGAGCAACAGCTCACATTTTACTCAGTGCACAAAAGTCACATCCTTCCTTTTTTGTTGGCTAATATTCTACTTTGGTCTTCATCCCATTCTCTAACATCAAATGCTCAGCTACTTTTCAGGTTTCTGTTTCAGGCATGCACTCTCTTAGGCTACCTAAAAAACCTTGAATTGCAAGATTGTGGGAGCTGGACTAGACTACTCATAACATAATGTGAAAACTGACAGTTTGAGTCACATAGCCCATTGTGCATTCAACTCAAAGCATGTTCGACCGGAGAATGTTGTTTTTTAGTAGTCAGTAGTCTTTTACCAAAAAAGGATGGATAATTGTATAGTGCATTACACTTTCTAGATGTACACTTTGCTTCTCTGGCTCCCTTTTGAGCAAATATTTGGAAGCTTTGGTATGTGCCTATGTCTTTATTAGCTGCAATTCTAAACTGTGTGTTAAGGCAATGATATAGTATGGTTTATTCAGAGCCACGTATTGGGGAAGTTATGCAAACTGGTGAAATTTTGCACAGTAAGGTCATGATTTGCACTTTGACCATATAGGCACTACAGTTTCTTACACAAAGTAATCAGTGAGAACTTGCAGGAATTGCAAAATGAGTCCTGAAACATACTGTTCTTGTGCAGCATTAAAAGGAAAATAAGCTATGCATATTTTCAATCTGGCAAAAATCTGGCAACAACATTAGAATGCTTGTCTCTAGCAAAGCATTCAGAAACATTTCAAGTAAACAAAGAGAGCAAGCAGCAGACTAAAGTTGATTTACAGTAACAAGCAAAAGCCAACAAAATGTAGTTAATCCCTGTTTATTGCTAAATATTTTGTTCTACTATTATTAACTAATAATGGGCACCAAAAGCCATACGTATAATACCTTAGGTTTGCATACTATACCTACCTGGATTTGAATTTTCACAACTGTCAGTTGATATGGATTTGGTTTGTTTTATTCATGCCTCCAATACATGTATACATATAGATACATGTATGTAATATGTATATTATTATTATTTGGAAAAATATTTAAATAGAAGGATTATGAGAGTTATGCTTTTGTTTATACCTGCAATGGAGGACCAAATAGTAGTAGTAGTAGTAGCCTCGCCTCGCCTCGCCTCGCCTCTCCTCTCCCTCTCCTCCCCTCCCCTCCCCTCCCCTCCCTCTCCTCCCTCTCCTCCCTCTCCTCTCCTCCCTCCCCTCCCTCTCCTCCCTCCCTCCCCTCCCCTCCCCTCCCCTCCCTCCCTCCCCTCCCCTCCCCTCCTCTCCCTCCTCTCCTCTCCTCTCCTCTCCTCTCCCTCTCCTCCCCTCCCCTCCCCTCTCCTCCCCTCCCCTCCCTCCCCTCCCCTCCCCTCCCCTCCCCTCCCCTCCCCTCCCTCCCCTCCTCTCCCCTCCTCTCCTCTCCTCTCCTCTCCTCGTCTTCTCTGCCTGGGTTTAAGTTTTATAAACCCCAAAGCAGACATAGGCTGCTGCCAAAGTCATCAGTGTTTGAGCTTTACATTCATTCATGGTCACCCTGAGAGGTTTAATAGAGGAATTTCCAGAAGAGCGAAGTGCCTGAGAATTAAAAGTCTTACTGAACTCAATGTGGTTTATCTGTACAATGCTGGAAGAGGGGGCTCTTATACCTGGCTGCTTCATAAACAACCTCTGTGAAAAATTGGAAGCAAAAGTCTAAACACAATGTACGCCAGTAACTGTCCCTCTTACTATGAATCCAGCCCTGGAAGTAGGACTTCCTGTCAGCATCTTGCAAGAAGAGTGGACAGGACCCAACCTGAGACTAAGCTATTTCATATATCTCATGTATTGCGTCAGAAAGTGTTAATTATCTAGTTATTGTTAGGTGAGTAACCATACTAAAGACAACGGTTTCTTGCGTAAGTACCTGAAAGTTAGAGGTGAAAAGTGGCTCTTGGAAGTGGCTCTTGTTAAGCTGAGAAACAGGAGAACCTGTTTAAGAGTTTTGTGTATGTGAGAAGACTGGTAGCTCTCTTAGTGCTACATGTATTTTTATTAAGAGTTAAACTAACAGAAACAGTCATCAGTTAACTGACAGAGCTAGCAGAGAGGCTGGTGGGAAAGAGGAAGACAGAAGAGTAGAAGCAGCTTGAAATGACCTTCCTATGTGTGACATTTCGACAGTCTCAAAATGGGAAGATGTTACTGCAGGAATGAGGAAGCAACTGGTCAGTGCAGTTTTGTCAGAAGACTGTGAGATTATTGCACTTCATGACTTAGGTAGTGCATAGCAGCCAGTTGTTTTACTTTGTTAGGAAATCTCTCTTCTCTTTTTAATAAAATATAGTTGTTGCTATTGGTTCACATTTCCAAGTGGGAATTAGCTCCCTGAGCACCAACAGTGTCTTTTGCTTCTTGGGCAAGGGGCTGAACTGGGATTTCACTAGTAACCCAATTCAGATGAGATCAGTCCCTTATTGGTCTAGGGAGAGAAGTTACATAGGATGGCCAATATTGGCTTACCTATTTGTTCCTGGGAAGAATGGCAGGGTGTTGAGGAGACCAAGCCATTATGACATAAGGCAAATCTGGCAGTAGGAAGCTAAGTCCACTTGAGTCTAGAGTGTTGCACAGACACAGTCTTACCTACTTTTCAAAATCCAACCCTGGGAAGATTTGAGGATTCTCTCATTCCTTCTCTCATGTAGATTCTTCCTTCTCACCAGTTGCAATATTGTATACTCAGAGACCTTCATACTCTCCTGTTTACTCAGATGGAAATGGGAGATGCAGAACTTTGTACTTATAAAACCCCACTCTCTCTCTCT